TTTATTTTTGGAATTTTTTGAAAGTAATTTATAAATTAAAAATATATCTACACATCTATTACTTATTATAAAATGAGCATTACATTGACAACATTTATTAATAATACAGTACTATTGAATTTCATCTTAATTTTATAACCAATCATGCTTTAAAAAATAATTATAAATTTGTTATATTATACTCTTTATTATACTTTAAATTTTTTTATGTTATTGAATCATTTTACAAAGTGCCTATATACGTAATTGCATCAGTTTTAGCACCTATTTAATTAATTTCAATTACGACAGCGAATGATATGGATAATTGTTTCTTTTAAACTATTTGATGAAAACGTTACATAAAATTGTGGTTACATAATCATTCGAAATTATTATTATATTTTTGACTGAAAATCACTGGATTTATGCAATTTTAGTTTAATTAATGTCATATGAAACTGACTGCTCGTACAAGTTTGCTTAAAACATGCGACTCAAAAAACCCCAAAATGGCGGCTCAAGAAATAGGTCACGCGTGTCCTGACCTTCTTATATAGACCTTGGCCACTTTTTGCCATTAGTAGCGCTTCGATCACATGGCGTCCAATTTTCGTAATACTGTATATAAGCGAGGAAACAGGTGTTTATCTTTAATTTAGCATGGTTTTCTGCCGTTTTTTCACAGTAATTTAAACCTTTTTCTTCTCGCTTCTCCATTGGTCTCCCACCTGTCTCCAGGTGTAAATGGAGCTCCGTGTCGGTCACGGGAAAGGTCGGCTAGAGGTGGTCTATTCGACGCCTTCCTTTAGATTTTGATCGCGTTTTATCGATGACTAAGACACCCATGCTCATTCTGATATTTTTCTAGTTTCGTTTTGCTTTCTAAACTGAGTCTTAATGTTTTTAATTCTCTTTTTAAATTTTCTTTAATTAAAATTTTGTTTTTTTTTTCGCTATTCTTTGTGAGCGTCGACGTCAAAGTCCGGTGTCGCCGATTCGACACTTTTACAACTTGTTTTCTTTACTGTCTTTCTTAACAAATTTTACTTTTTCTTTCTTTCTTTCTTTTTTGTTAACGCTATTTCCGGGCCTGACACAAGCCAGTTAGATTACCACATATTGATACAAAAACTAAACTTTCCCATGACATTTATAAAGCATAGACTTTATATAGTTGATCAATTCTGTTTATTTTTTAGTAACTGAATCATCACATGGAAACACGTGAAATGCAATTAGATTCTTCTGTGAACAGATGCGAGAGCAGTTTATCGGCAGGAAATTCTCAAGCTACAATTTCTAATAAGTATGTTTATCGAGAAGTATATTATTTGGGGCAAAAAACATAGAAAAAGAACGAAAACATTAATTCCTAAAAGCGCTCTAATATGAGCTATTACTCTTTAGAGCAGTAGTTCTTAACCAATGTTCCGCGCATGGGCGTAGCGAGAGGGGGGCCTGGGTGGGCACGGCCCCTCCCAGGGAACCTGGTGCCCTCCCCAGGAAATCACAGCCGAAAAAGTGTTAAGTCGATTTGTAAAAACCTAAAGCTAAAATAAAAGTTTTAAATACTAAAAAAAGGTGAACGGCTTGCTCGGTGCCCAATAATGAACAAATAATTTGAAATAATTCAATTTTGTGTCAGGTTGGCCTCCACTAGGCCCCCCATAACAAAACTCTGGCTACGCCCATGGTTCCGCGGAACACAGGAGTACCGCAAATCTACCTCGAATGTTCAACGAAAGAAAAGATTTTACAGTTTTTATTCAAATTTATTTCATTGCTATATTCATACACAATTCCATGTTTTTATTTTATTCAATATATTAAAGTTTATTACTTTATTGTTTCATTATTTCCTGAGAATAGTAAACATGGAATTGCTTAATAATTTTTTAATATATTAATGCTAATGTTTCGTGTAATAAGTAGTCTATATGAATGGTGTTCCGCAGCCTCAAAAAGGTTGAGAACTATTGCTTTAGTATAATTGGAAAACCCTTGCCCATACTGTTATAAGTCTGAAGAAAGGTAGCCTGATATGGGATTTCTGAATTGTGAACTCTAGTCAGGACAGAAGAGAGGTGGAAACTCGTATTTGGGTGTGACGAATACTGAGACAGACTCGGCGGTTACAAAATATTCGTCCCGATCTATTGATGATATTGATTATTATTTCCCTGTTTTCCCAAATTTTATCAGTTCTATGAGAATCAGAGTCAAGGTTCAACCTCCTAGTTCCGAAATGTGTTCTTCTTCTTGTTTTTTTCCAGTTTATATGGAGATTTTAGCCTGTTGGCCTTTTCTCCGATGTACGCCGCTTTACGATTATGCGAAGCGGTTTGAACGATCGAAACGTGTTCGATTCTTGCTCGACACTTACCTCATTTAATATCATCGCGACACGTTTTGTTTAATAAATTCCTTTCTATAATAAATGTTCTTAAGCTAATTTAATGAGGGATTCGAAACCGGTGTGGAGTCTCATATTGTTACCATTCACTACCTGTAATGCAAAATCAATAAATTTTTTTGAAAGATTTAATCAGCTCTTTATATCTGATTACTAGATATGAATCCATCACTAGTCTCCATCTTTTAGTCTCATTTATGTTTGGTTGTAAAATATTACACCTGTTCCACTTAGTTAATATACCTTTGAAATTATTTATTTTAAAATAAAAGCCGTATTTTTATTTTACAGATTATATATATTTCGCTGTTTTGTTCTTAATTGACATCTGTATAAATGGAGCATGCCATTGACTGCATAATAATAATATTTAAACAAAATATTAAGTTTTTGCTATTTTTTTATTTTTAATAATTTTTTATTCTGACATATATTCTACAGAATAAAATAGTACCGTGTTTTCCCGAAAATAAGACAGTGTCTTATATTAATTTTTGCTCTGAAAGAGGCGCTAGGTCTTATTTTCAGGGATGTCTTATTTTTTCCAGGAAGAAGAATTCACATTTATTATTGAACAAAAAAACTCCCAAGTCGAACTTAGACGAGAGTGACGTATATCCGGTGTGTCGAACTGTGGCCTTTTTATAGCGTCAACATCGGACTCGATGACCAATTAGTGCTTACTAAACCGTAGCACTATGCAAACGTCATGTGGCGTGATTCCCGGCCGACCAATTAGCCATCACTAGCCGTAACGTTATGCAAATCTGTGATTCCCAAGCCATAGTCTTATGCAAATCATGCCGCGTGGCGTAATTGTCTGCTAACCAATCAGTGGCTGTACTTTCAAAAAGCCAACGGCCACTTTCAACCATCTGTCGATGACCGTTACGACTAAAAAAACTTTGCTAGGTCTTATTTTCTGCGGATGTCTTATTTTCGGGGAAACACGGTAGAAAATAATTGTAAAAATAATTCATGCAGTTTTAAGTAGTTAGTAATTCTTTTTGCTGTTATGGAAAAACAGTTATAATCCATTATTAATAAAGCATTAATAGAATAAATACGATCAAAAGCCATCTAATAGCAGAAAGTGGCATATTACCGATGTTAAAGCCTAGTGGCGTGACCATACTGTTATCTAGGGATGGGCGACCCGCGGCCCGCGGGCAGCATTAATATTTTTCGCGGCCCCCGTCGCATAAAATATGATTAAATATATGAATTTCCCAGCTTAAGGAAGTACGCAACAAAAATCCAAACGTTATTTTTTACAACTTATGTATGTAAATAGTTTTTCTCGCAATGAATTTAGTAAAAATTAAAACAAGAAACCGGCTAACAGACTCACATCGAAACTAATTTAAAATTAGCAGTAACTAATATTTAACCAAATATTTCCGATATATTACATTCACATCAGTTCTAGAAGTTAAATTAAGTATACCTATGCTAATTGATAATTATACATAAATAAATGTGATTTACTGGCATTTTTTTTCTCTTGTATGCGGCTCGCGTCAGTTCAAAGTTTTGAAATGCGGCTCTTACATAGAGAAAGGTTGCCCATCCCTGTATAAATAACAATTATCTATAGATCATGGTATGTATGTATGGTGGCTGAAGAGGGGATAAAAATCCTTAAATATATTTCAAGGCCATGTTATAGGATAAGATTTAAGTCTCCCGAAGTGCCTATACGTCTGATAACTGTTTTGTACACAACTTAATACATTTAAATTATTAACATCTTTTCAAATATCAATATATTAGTATCGCGATTTTCAAACAATTTTCTATGAAATACATTAAAAAGCTAAATAAATTATTAAAATTTCTAATCATTAGATGATGTAAATTTTGTTTTTCCATTATTTTTTTAAACGTATGAACAATGCGCAAAGACATTTTCGCAACATTATTTCATTTGGTGATTGTATTGTTTTCCACCGCTGTGACCTCAATGTCCTGTAGAAATATAACGGTAAATTTTGTCACGTTGATTCCTTATGTTTTATGATGACTGCGGATTAACGCCAATAACAGCACAACTTACTTCATCAATGACGTAATTTAATAAGTAATGAAATTGATGACATCATCAATTCCAATATTAATTTGTAAAAAATTATTATAATTGCAACACAACATGATTAATTAAAATGTAATTATGCAAAGTACTGTACATAATATTATTGAATTAATCAGGACATTCTCAAGATATTTTAAGGAATATTATGCTGAAATTTATTATATTTAAAGTGCAGCATTTGTTTTGTGTGAATAGTATATATGATTACGTAAATTTGACATCATTTTTATAGGTTTCTTATGAGAAAATGTGGGAGTGACGTCAATTTGACGTAAAAATGTACATTATTTAAGGCTTTAAGAATTTACATTAAAAAAAATTAAAAAATAAATTTAAATGGGAATAATTATAATGTAAAAATGATAGAAATTAACGTAGATTCGAATTAAAAAAGATAATTAAGTCCTGACGGAGAGAGACGTTGGTACGGATATTATTAAATATGACACATTTATCTCAAAAGGAAGTTTAAGGAACTTTCCTTTAAAGATAAAGTGAAAGCAGCAATAATATAATTAATTCGAATTTGAAATCGATTAAAAATAATAATCGAAAATAAAAGATTTCTTCAAACAACAAAAAAATGAACAAATTTACTAGAAAATGCTGAATTGTAATATTATTTAGCAGAGAAAACGATTTTAGCGCCCCTATCTATTGCTGACATTTAGTTGCCATGGCAACATTTCTATACTTGTTTGTAATAGAAGTGATAAAGTTTCCGGCAAACTCTCACTAATATGTCAATAATTTCGAGTGATATATGAGACAAATGTAAGTATTGAACTAACGAGGCTAATGTAATGTATATTGTATCATTGACAAATATAATAATTTTCTTTCAATACGTAGATGCTGCGCATTTAAAAGTGCTTCTCGGTCAAATTTCTGAATACATTAATCCTTATAAATCATACTGAAATAGCTGCATTTCCTTCCTTTATATTCATTAGAAATAACCGTAAATATCTTTCTTATATACTTAATAATTGAATAAATGAAATCCTAGACATCACCCTAATTGTTAGTACTGCAGCAATTAATACTTCAGTACTAACAATTAGTGATGTCTATCATATCATTCATATATAAAGTCATATTTTACAAAATTAAATTCTTAAAATTATTAATAAATGTTTAAATTAATAATATATTACAATGAAGAAGAGTAAACTAATTGAATTATCGGGGAAAAAAAAGACTAGAAAATATCTATATTTATATTATACGTATTGTGCAAACTATTGCTAATGTTTAATGAATGATTAATATATATTAAAAATATGTTTAGAAAAAGTTACTAAAGAGATTTAGAATTCTTAAATAGATATGCCCGCAAAAACAAATACTGAATAAAAAAAAAGATGAAGTATATAACGTAACTGTTATTGGAACTCGAATTGATACAAAGTGGTTGGTTAATTTTTAGAATCAATTTAAAACTGATTGATTAAAGAAAAGTCAAAAGAATAAACAATTATGACAGCGGTTCCCAAAGTTGAGCCACAGCCCCCTAGGGTGCCACAAAATGTTTTAAAATTTTTATAATAGACAATATTTTTTAAACTAAGTAATATTTCGCATATTGTACTTGCTAAAATTTGATATAGGGTTCCTTGGAAAAACCTGGATTTAGCAAGAGTGTCAAGAATCAAAAAGTTTGGGAACCACTGAATTATGAAATAATTAAGAGGATATGCATCAGAATTAGCTGTGAAAATAGTTAAGAAAGTACATACTTGTTAATCTTATAGATAGGCTGACTTGATAGATAGGAAAGGCAGATTTTGGATGCAAAGGCTGAGAAATAAAAAATAGCAATTTATAGAAAGATTGATGATAAAACTTGACATTTTAAGCAATTATTTAGTCTTCATTTTATATCAATAATAGGTTTATAGTACAGGTACACTAAATTTCTGTCAGGTTTAATTCCAAAGTCTTGCCAGATTAACTATTTTTCCAGACCAAATGTGGTCATGTGTAATAATTCATAAACATGCCTCTAACCAACTAATAATATACCTGCCCTATGTCTAAACTATATCATGGGTTGCTAGAAACTTGAATTAAATAATTACTAAAGTTAAGTTACATTTGACATCACCACTGACTCTTCTCTCTTAGAAGCTATAGCTAGGGTTAAATTTAAGCAAAAGAAACTAGAATATCACCAATTGCAGTATCACCACAAAAAGTGTAGTGTAAATAATGTAAGTAAGCGTACCCTATACATATCATCTGTGGCTGTCCAGTAAACTAGTCTGATGGCTGAGGGAATTTTAAATTCTAATAATTTTGCCCTGATAAAAAAAAAGGTACCAGATCATCAGTTGCTGGAAGTTTGGTAGTGTATTTGTACTGACTTTTCCTACTAGATATATTACTAGTAGTAATAAAGTGGAATGTAGAGTAATACAGGTACAGTAGTACATTGTATTATATATATAAAGTATTATATAAAGAGTTCAGACAACTAAATTTTAACAAATAGGATAACTAATTGAAAATACCAGTGTCAAAAACATTGAATTGGCAACACTGGATATTTTTTCTTTACTCTTTTCACCCTGTAAGCACTAAGGGCCTTTTTTTATCAAGCCTGTTGTGGGTTTGGCCAGACCCATAATGTGGTGGCTGGGTTTTGAGGGGTAGGGATTGACATATCTAGGACCAACCTTGAAAAATTCTTGGTTTTTTACTAGTGTTGCAACGAATAGTATATTCGGCCTCAGGCCGAATACCAAATATTCGGCCAAACTATTCGGCTTGATTAATGCACGTACGAAAATTGGCGCCCAAACCGCATTATGGCAAGGACCCTGCTTTCTATTTGCCCACTATCACTACGCTTCGCCAATCGCGTTAATTCTTGACAGTTGTAGCAGACATAAAAGAGCGTCATGGCATTATGTGATAAATGATAAATAATGATATCAAATGTGGATAACAATGAAATGACCTACACGTGTAAATAACGGGAAAAGAATAGAGAAGGACCGCAAAGTGAAAATGTGAAAATAAATATGAAATTGAGTTGCTAACATAATCGAACAAGTCAAGGCAGCTTATTGGTGCGAAATTTTCGGTCGTCAATGCCAAACAATTGTTGCCATAGACTTTGGAAAGCTAAATGCTTGTAATGAAAGTCACTTAGCATGCACGGGCAAAAGCCTGAGGCCGTTCGGGCTACCATGCTGTCTCAAATCTGTGAAATCATGACTGTGACTTATACCGATGTCCTATCTGTCTCTTTTCTCCGTTATCACCAGGCTATGAGTCACGTAATTGTAAAATGGGAAATCTATGACGGAGAAGTGACAAATCAAAAGTATCGTGAATGCGTATTATGATGTATGCATAGGCATACGTGGACTAGAGCGATAGAGAAAAGAAAAAGGGAAGAGCAAAGACGAGCGCTTAAAAAGAAGGATAGGCAGGGTCAGATCCTCAGATGTGTGATGATTCTTGAATGAATAGGTGTGTACGTGTGCTGATCTTTGTAATTATAGTTTGTGAATTCATGTGACTAATATTATTTTCTTTTTTATTTTGTGCATGTTATAAGTTATAAATAAATATAAACAAAAAACACTACCCGATAACATTAAATCTAAATACCAAAATGATTAATTTACTGTTCTTTTGTTATTTCTCACTCCTGTTTTTAGGTATTCGGTATTCAGTCGAATAGCGAAAAATAGGCCGAATACTGAATAGTAACCGAATATTCGTTACATCACTAGTTTTTATTAATCTATCTGCATTCATTCCTGGGTTTTCCAGACTGGTAGGATCATACCTTAACTGCCTGGCCATCCACACTGGGCAGTGCTGTAACTAGCCATTCCTGTGCCCTGTGCAAGAATTTGCATTTAGGCCCCTTAATTAATTAGGTTTGGGAAAATAATAAAACAAATACATGCATTTTGGGCCCCCCTTCCAAGTCGACCTTGTGTGGGTGCACCTGTTGCATCTGCCTAGTTACAGTACTACACTGGGTATACTATTGTCAGCATACTTACAGCATTGTAATGCATAATTACTATGCCTAAGATAATAAAAGAATTAAATGATAATTGATAATCTGAATGTAATATCAAACATTACATAAATATTTTACACACATTTTGACTTTCAGAAATGTTCTAGTTTATATTTTGATTAAAAATAGAGCTATGGGCATGTTTGTATTTAAAAAAACCTATTGCGATTTCAATGTTAATCAAATTATACAAATAAAAATATGAAATTTTGCAATTTTTTGAGTTTATGTAATGTATTTAGTAACATGTTTATGAAAATATAAAAATATTTAAAATTAGTTCAATATCATATACTGGATGTTCAGTAAAAAAATACACTATTGGAGCATCTGACAGAGTAAAAATACAGGATTTTTTGTCGTTTTTTGATATGTGGAAAAATTTTGACTATTGAACATCAATATTTTAGGGATCTTTTTCTATCAGAAATTATTTCTCTTATTAACAGTATGGAAGATGTGCCTGAAGTATGTTGATTTTAGCTGATTTAGTGTTTAAAGAGTAATTTCTTTTCACAGTGTATAATTGATGTCTCCATATAGATAATGTCAGAATAGTTTTATGAGAATTGAGGGAGAATTTATAGCATGTCTTCCTATTGTTAAGGAAACAGTTGACTCTCCCACTCATTCCCCCAAATCCTGGAGTGCCCTTTGATCCAGAATAAGGTGATATTGAGGATATTCTGGAGCAAATTGAGAGAGACCTGTTGGCTAGAAAAGCCACAGTTAACCTGCATAGTTACACTTATACAAGGTCCCCCTTAGCTGGTTGGTCAAGCAACTGAGGGCTCTCACACAACAAATAGCAGCATAATAGAATAGTTCCACAGTTAGGGTCACTCGCCAATTCCTTCCGGTATTGGCAATGGCAACAGGAAAAAGTAACATACTTCACTCCATCTTATGAACTGACTCAAATAATGACAAGACACAGAAACCTTAAGACCTACCTTGCACGGTTCTTGAAGAAAGGTGTGAGGTACTGCCCCTGCCCTCTTAGGGAGAAAGAAGACAGTTATCATATCATTTTCTACTGTCCTAATTACTTCCAGAATGAAAACATCTCATCAACGTGGTATGTCAGGAGAACATCGTTTGGTCATGTACTCCGGACTTGTTAATTAATGAGCAACAAAAACATTTTCATATCCTTCAAGAACTTTATCATTAGTATTAAAATTCTCAGCTAGTGTAGCCACCCTTGTGTGGGCATAGACTTTCTTTGGTTCCACGCAAATTAGTACTGTATTCTGAGTTCTTTAGCCATTGTGTTATGTCAATTTCCTTTATAGCAGCTCTCACGGGTTTTAGATCTGTTTTGTACTTGTTCAGGATCTACCCTTATTTATCATTATTGTATCAGCTCACATTTCCAGGGGTATGTTGTAATTTTGTTCTATTTAATCTATGTACACGCAGTGCATATGCATTGTTATTGTATTATTGTGTCTGTGTTTGTTCTTCTTGCACAATGCTTTGGGTAATCTATGTAGCACTAGGTATATCCCTTTTGGTTGTAAATAGTTTCCATCCAGGCATCATGAGATCCCTCCCACTCTTTCCTTCTCACTTGTCCGTCCCCCTCTTCCCCTCCCTCCTCCCTCTCCTTTACCTTTATTCCCCCACTTCTCCTTGGCTATACCAGTTGGTAAGGCCTCTCTTTTTATCTAGTATCTAGCTTGTCTTGCATACTGTCAGGTGGTGCAGGGTGCCCATTTTGAATACTTACAAGGAATGCTACACCTATGTCCCTACTGATGAATTTTGACACAAAAGTAGTGTTTGATATAATTCAATTCCCCAAACTGTTTCATTCTATAGGCCATAATTTGCAAATTATTGAGGTTTAAAAATTAAGGTATTCATCTGTGTAATCTGCTGTCATTGGCTAGTTTTTAGAGGTTCTGCCTTAT